AAAAAGGTCCTGCGGCCGTTAGAGTGGCGGCATGTCTGGAGCACATGACTGGGGCTCAGGAGACGTAGGTGTTAATTCCAGCTCTGCCACTGCCCAGCTGTGTGACCTTGGGAAAGTCCCTTCCCTTTTCTGTGCCTCAGTTTCCCCATCTTTGGAACTGATGAAACTCTCCTAAGTTATATGGGGATGTAGAGCAAAGTGGCACCGGAACATGTAGCATTTCTTCTTGCTCCAGCACTACACAGCGCTGCAAGATCTGTTGGGTTTTAATACAGGGCTTTCTCAAACACTGTTGGGTGCATGCCATTTCTCAGTTGGTTTGGATGCAGGTGCCAGTGTTTTGATAGCACCCTCCCAAATGGGAGGGGCCCTTTGGGCCATGAACATGCTCACAGTCTGTGAGCAGAGCTAGTGACCAAAGCCCCCAGGCCGCTCCTCAGATTTCACTGAGAGGCCAGTCCCATTGACTCCTACAGAACCACAGGCCTGAGCCCCGTGGGGCGGACTCTATTGCAGATAAATGGGATGGGGGTGCGGAGGGGAGATCCCAGGGGAAATTAATCTGGCCAGGTTAGAGAAGAAGCTGGGAAGGGAATGGATGTTAAGGCATCCTTGTGCAATTGGATCCAGCCAGGGCAGACCCTTGTAAAGTAACAGAGGTGCCGCATGGGCCGAATGAGTCACCTACCTGGACTGGGTTGCAGGATTGGGACCAACCTAGCACGCTGCTCAGCATTTTGAAAGGAAAACTCCAGTGGTTGGACTTTTTGCCAGGATTTCCCAATTCTCCCATCTGCAGAATGGGCTTTTACTTCGTTATGTTGCATTTAATTCGAACCGTGTCCTTCCCATTGAAATTCAGGGGCAGATACACACTATGCATCTCCAGTCACCCTTCCGGAGAAGTCTGGCTCCCTCCTCGGAGGAGTCTGAGCCATCCGTTGCCATAGAAATACCACAGCTTGCACAGGGATTTTTCGAGTGCATCGTTGTCCCTTGGAATTTCTTCCTTTACTGGGTACAAGTCTTTCACTTGCCGGCGCTTTTGTCTGATTTTTAATGTTCTGATTGTGTGGGAGGTTTCTTATTCTAGACAAAAGCGCAGTGGTTTCCAAATGCTGCCCACTGGGGCTGACTTTATGTAATTTATTGTGTGGGGGTTATTTTTTAAATTAAGTTTTTAATATCCATTCCTATGAGGAGAGACTCGAGAGATTTAAAAAAATCCGTTGTTGTTTTTTTTAAAGAAGAAATATTTCTCTACAAAGTCTGATTGGGAAAAAAGGTGTTTTCTTCTGAAGCCTCTTTCTCCGATCACTCGTGAATTTGTGTATGGAAACACCCATGTTAATGTCACCTGTCTCTTCGGAGGCCTATGGGCAGCAGTTCTTTGACCAGGGAGTTAAATGAATGAAAACAGGCAGCTTCTCTTTCGGTACATGTCATTTCCTGTTCTGTTGGAGACCAGGAAGTGACCTCAAAAGGGATGATGCTTCAGCCATAGTCATGTTTCTCATATTCAGGACAGCACCTAAGCATGTGCTTAAGCCCCTTTGGAGTCACTGGGAATAAAGCACATGGGTAACGTTAAGCACTTCTGTCCGTGTTTTCCTGAATCGGAGCTGCATGCACGTCTGTAACTTCAGTGGGTTGATTCGCTTGGTAACTGTTCTCTCCACTGACTTCAGAGGACTGACTCCTAATCTGTGCTGTCATAAGAGTAGAATTGAGCCCCTCGTGTCCTTGGTTATCAGAAACTAGACCTGTTTCAAGGAGCAAATTGATTCCATTTAAAGGCCCAATTGATGTTCTCTCAGTAGCTTTCATGAGTCCTGTTTAGCTTTTATCCAGGATACTACAGTCTCCATGAAACAATGCCTCCATCTAGCCCAGGGGACTGGGTTCGCAAACTGCGCTGCTGGCACCAAAGTGCAGAACAAAGCGAGGGCATGTGCCGATCCAGATCAGATCTTGTCCCCACTTGGCTTCAAAGGCCCTCGAATGTTGTGGCCATTCCATAGTCTGGGGGCCTGATTCTGCCCTGCCCTGCATACAGGCACAAAGGCATTGTGTTCGGATTTGGGCACGTTTTATACTCTCTTGTGCACCAGTGCGAGTGGCTGCACAAGGGGCAGGGCAGGAGAGAATCACACACATCCTCTGCAGGGAATTTTAGCTCCTCAGTGCCGGTTGTCTCCTCTCCCCTGAGCTCTCCTGATTCCTTTGGCTTTCCTTCTCCCTAGCCAATCAGCAATAACCCCCACACTGGACTCCCCAGCGTCGCTGGCTTTGCATCACTGATGGGGCCAAGGGGGAAGATCCAAATACTGTAGACAGGCCACGCCAGGTAGCAAATGACTAATATTTATTTTGCACCAGATTTAATTTGTATATGTTTGTGATTATTTTGGGGATCGTCGTTTCTTGTATATTTTTTTTTCATTGTTCTGAGTTGTGCCCTTTTAGGAGGGGATTTTGTTTTGTTTCATTTTTGAGTCTGCGTCTCTTGTCACTAAGAAATTATGATATTTGTTAAACGAAATATGGAATTTATTTTTTTGATTGGGTAATAAAATATCTCTCTATATTGCCTTCCTTCTGTGCTTTGTGGCCCCTGAAGGTTCATTCCCAGCCGTGCAGGCGGAGGCCGGGAGGCCGAATTTGCGTATGTCTAATTTCATGGGCAGTGGAGTGTCTGTTTCTGTTTAATCGTTTCTCTGTTCATGTGTTGGTGGGAAACAAATTACGTAACGTCACAAATGCTGACATTTTGGCCACATCCTCAGCTGATGCAAGTTGTTGTAGCTCCCTTGAAGTCAGTGGAGTTCTGCTAATTTACACCAAATGAGGATCTGCCCTGTGTTGTTTTATCCTATTTTCATTTCTTTATTCAGCTCTAAGGGCCAGGTCGCCAGCTGATGTAAATGGGCCGTCGCTCCGTGAGAGTCAGTGGGCCAGATCCCAGCTGGGACCAATGGGCTGTCGCTCCGTGAGAGTCAGTGGGCTAGATCCCAGCTGGGGTCAATGGGCCGTCGCTCTGTGGGAGTCTATGGGCCAGATCCCAGCTGGGGTAAATCAGCATAGCTCCAGTCACATCCGTGGTCTGTGCTGCTTTACACTGTGTGAGGATCTGGCCCGTCGAGTTTAGTAAAGAGATGAAACGGGAACTGGGGCAGCACAGAAAGAAACAGAGTTTCTTATATTTGCTTCTTCATTTTCCATTCACCAATTCAAAGCCGTTAGTGCTGCCCTGCACCTCCAAAGCTAACCTACCCCCACCCACCAGCACTGCTTTTGACTCCAAGAGCAGCTGAGAATTTAAAGGGACAGGGCAGAGTTTGGGTCCTAAACTTACTTTAAAACAAAAAAAAACCCTCATTTTCCTGATTTTGTTTTAAACGAGAATCCTGATGACAGTGGCAGTGCGTCCAGATCGATCACTCTGTCTGTGGGGTTTGTAGAATGATGCCGCTTTTGCCAGGGCTTTGCAACGCCACTGCAGGGGTTTGCTAGGCCTGGAGAGCCAGAAAATGAAACTGACTTCTACACAAATGTGAAACTGACCAGTCCATTTTCACTAGGCTGGGGGCTGTGCGTGCAGCACCCTGCATGGTGGGGCCTGACCTTAGTGGGGCTTCTGGACACTACTGTAATACATCATATATAACACCACAGCATGAGAAAGAGGTTCTAAGACTAGGCCCTTACTAAGGACCTGAGGCTCTAAATACAGCCAGGCCACAGCCTGTGGCCGCGGGTGGGTGGCAGCGTTTCCCTGGGCTGTGACAGATGAAAAATGGGGTCTTTACAAGTCTGTGAACATGGGCGATAGTACGGAGCCCCCCGAGCTTTCCCATCTTCATGCTGCACCTCAGAACCGTGTCCGAGCTGGTCAGGCTGTTCTAGGCTGAACCAACGATCAAGAAAACCGCAGGATCAGGCGTGTGTCCCTGCTCCCCGCTCCACTCGCTCTCCTGATGTAGCACAGGAGAGCGGACCAGGCAAGGGCTAGGCCCTGAGCCAAGTTTTGCAGTGTCTCAGTGGCATCTGAGCCTCCCACAATAACTAAACAAAATGAGCTCACACTTATTAAGAGGCCTAGTGGGTCGGGCATTTCCCCAGAGCTCAGGAGATCTGGGTTATGTTCCTAGCTCTTCCACCGCCCTGCTGGGGACTCTAGACAAGTCATGGCACCCTCTGTGCCTCAGTTTCCCCTCCCACGCTTGGTTTATTTACACTGTAGGCTCTTAGGGACAGGGCCTGTCTATTGGTGCGCAGGTCCATTGCCACTGACTGCTGCCATGACTGGTTCGAATCTGCTTGCTAAGCCTTGGAACGGCAGAATAGGGAGGGCTGGGGCTAAGCTGGACTTGTTCTCTGGGGAGGACTGGGTGCAGAATTGCTCCTGCCCCCCTCCCCACAACACCCTCAGCTGGGACCACTCCCAAGAGCCAGTGCTCCTGCCCTGCTCCTTACAGCACCGTCAAGTGGGGGAGAGGCCAGGACTGAAGTAGCTGGGAGCTCCCCCCACATGTAGTGCTCTTGGCCCACTCCCTACAGCGCCCCCTGTAGACTGAAGTAGTGGGTGCGTCCCATTGGCAGCACTCCTGTGATGTTCCCTGTGGTGGTGTCAAGTGGGCAGCACGATATTTTGATTAAAAAACTAGAATATAAAATGCTCAGTGCCTTGGCACACAATGCTGTGATGGGGATGCGGAGGTGGGCAAGGCTGTTTAGTCAAGTCCAGAAGGGACCATTGTGATCATCTAGTCTGACCCCCTGTAGAGCACAGGCCAGAGACCTGCCCACAATAATTCCTAGCGCAGATCCGTTAGACAAACAGCCCATCTGTATTTACAGTTACATTTAGCCATATTAAAACACGTCTTGTTTGCTAGCACCCAGCTCCCCAAGTGAGCGATCACTCTGGATCAGTGCCTGTCCTCGTCCTTATTTACCTCTCCCGCAAGTTCGTGTTTCTTCCAGCATGACTTTGTTTTCTTCCAGATTATTGATAAAAATGCTAAATAGCATAGGGCCAAGAACCAATCTCTGCAAGGCCCCATTGGACACAGATCTGCTCAGTGAGGAGTCCCCATTTACATTTTGAGACCTCTCTGTTAGCCAGATTTTAATCCATTTCCTGTGTGCCCTGTTCATTTTATATCCTTCTAGTTTTTTTAATCAAAATGTCATAAAGTACCAGGTCAAACACCTTACATGACATCAGCTCTATTACCTTTATCAACCAGACTTGTAATCTCATCCCAAGGCATATCAGGTTAGTTTGGCAGGATCTGTTTTCTACAAACCCATGTTGATGGCATTGATTATTATTCATACTACCCTCCTTTCGTTCTTTATTAAGCGAGTCCCATATCAGCTGCTCTATCTTGCCTGGGATCAATATCAGATTGACAGGCCTGTAATTACTCAGGTCATCTCGATGACACTTTTTGAATAATGGCACAACATTAGCTTTCTTCTAGTCTTCTGGAACTTCCCTGTTGTTCCAATACTTATTGAAAAGCAACATTAATGTTCTAATGAGCTCCTCAGCCAGCTCTTTTAAAACTCTTGGATGCAAGTTATTTGGACCTGCCGATTTAAAAATGTCAGACTTTAGTAGCTTCTGTTTAACATCAACCTAAGATACTAGTGGAACTGAAAGAGTTTTATCATACACTATAACTGCATCATCTGTTTTTTCAAAATACAAAAAAGAAATATTTATTGAACATTTCTGCCTTTTCTGCATTATTATTGATAATTCTACCATTTCCATCTAGTAATGAACCAATATCATAGGGTTTTTTTGTTTGTTTCTAATATACTTTAAAAACTCCATCTTATTGGCCTTAACTTTTGCTGGCCATAGAGTTAATAAGAACATAATAACGGCCATATGGGGTCAGACTAATGGTCCATCTAGCCCAGTATCCTGTCTTCTGACAGTGGCTGGTGCCAGATGCTTCAGAGGGAATGAACAGAACAGGGAAATTTTAAGTGATCCATCCTGTTGTTCAGTCCCATCTTCTGGCAGTCAGAGGCTAGGAAGAAACACCCAGAGCATGGGGTTGCATCCCTGACCATCTTCGCTAATAGCCATTGATGGACCTATCCTCCATGAATTTATCTAGTTCTTTTTTTGAACCCACTTATACTTCCTTCACAACATCCCCTTCCTTATGTTTTTTTTTAAAACCTGCTGCTTGATAATTTAATTGGGTGACCCCTGGTTCTTATGTTATGTGAAGGAGTAAATAACGCTTCCTAATTCACTTTCTCCACACTGGTCATGATTTTATAGACCTCTATCATATTCCCATTTAGCCGTCTCTTTTCCAAGCTGAACAGTCCCAGTCTTTGTAATTTTCTCTGATATGGAAGCTGTTCCAGACCCCTAATCTTTTTTGTTGCCCTGCTCTGTACTTTTTCAAATTCAAATAGATCTTTTTTGAGATGAGGCAACCAGAACTGCACGCGGTATTCAAGGTGTGGGCACACCATGGATGTCTTTGTGTGTTCCTTGGCTTCTCCTCAATTTTTGACACTGCCTAGCTTCTGATTTATAGGCATCTCCTTCCTCCCTTATTTTTTTTTTTTAATTTAAATAGCTGCCTTCACTTCCCCCCTAACCCAGGTTGCTATTTTACCCAAGACAGCCTTCTTCCTTGACGGTGGGATTGTGGCTTTCTTGGCATCTAGTAAAGTGTTCTTAACCAGGTCCCAATGATCACTCATGTTTTACTGAGTACATTCTTCCTCCCAGCTGATTTGGCTCATCAAGTGTTTTCAGACCTTTTAAAGCACCAAATGCATCTATCACTGGGCTGGCCTTTCTGCTGTTTGTGCAGTCTAACCCTGATTTAGAGAAAAAGAGGTGAAATCCTGCCTCTCTGAGCCCTGTCCCAATTTGCTCAACCTCTGCCTTGGACAGGGAGAAGTTCCTCCCACACAGGTCTGAGCTGTGGGTAAGTCTAAATTAGGGTTTCCAGGCATCTGTTTTTTGACCACACCGCCCAGTCGAAAAGGGACCCTGGCGGCTCCGGTCAGCACTGGTACCTGCTTCTCTGGGGTGGGGGAGTGATCAGAACCCACTGCCCTGTGTGTGTGTGTGTGTGTGGGGGGGGGGGGGGCGTCAGTACGTGCGGAGCTGCCCTAGCTGGGGGTGCTCAGTGCCCGTTGCCCGTGTCCAGGGGTTCGGACCTAGGAGCATCCTGGAGGTGCTAGTCAGCCCTGACCCCTGCCTCCCTTCTGCAGTAACTCCCCTGTGCACGGGTCCTGCAGATAAATGTCCCCGTGACCATGCCTGGCTCGAGGGGGGGCACGGATCCGGCCCCCTCCCTAGCTGGGCACCGAGGGGTGCAACCTTCCCAGAACCAGGGAAAGGGGCCTCTGTCCCTTTAAATCCCAGCCCCTCCCCCTCCTTGTTTATATCACGGTGCAGACTAACTTACGCTCTCTTTGCCTGGGGCCCTCTCCCGCTGCCCATTGGCCGGAGCCCGTCAGCCGCACTCTCTGATTGGCCGGCCCGCCGCGGGCAGGCTAAGGTGCGCGGGTGGGGAGTCAGCTGACCCACTTGTC